AAAATGTATATCTAGTTTATTTTTTATATTATTATTATTATAAATAAATTTTATCGTTATCGTTATCTTGTACGTATGTAGATGAAATCTATATCATATGACATTTGAATGTGGCGGCGATAACCCGTGACCCGCACTTAGGGGGGCCGCCCTGGCTGCGTCTTAAATCTTAGATTTTCAAATCTATCTATAAAAAATAAAACATGTCTAACGCATTTGGCCCAGAGAGACCGAAAATTGATGGCGGATTTGAAAGAGATTCTGAAGAAGACCTTCTCAAACAAATGAATAAAGTTCCTTTATTCATGAATGAATTGCCAGAGGAGGAAAATGATGCACTTGCGGCTTTACAGTCTTTAATTTACGAAGGCCCACCTGAAGGTATTTACAGTAAAAAATTAATTAAATTTGGATTCGAATGTAAAAATTTGTAATTTTATATATTCTATAGAAATCGCCGAGAATTTTAAAAACCAAGGGAATGAATGCTTTAAAGCTGGCAAATCACAATATCAAGATGCGATAAATTATTACACGAAAGCATTAGAAACAAATTGTCAAGACAATAAAATAATCGAAGCTTGTCTAACAAATCGTGCAGCCGTTAACTTAGAATTGCGTAAGTAAATGGTAATTTAATTTCACCAGGATAATAACATCTATTAATTTATTATATGTTTACTACTTAAGATTGTTTTTCTTTATAGAAAATTATCGTAAAGTCCTTACTGATTGTGCAAAAGCCATTAAATTAAACCCTAGAAACATCAAGGCATTCTATCGCTCTGCAAAAGCTTTACATGCACTTGATAAAATTGATCAAGCTTTAGATTGTTGTGAACATGGGCTTAGAGTATATATCAATATTTTTGTATCGTATATAATAATCTTCTCATAATTTATTATGTTTGTAAATATTATTAGATAGAGCCAAATAACTTGGCTTTACAACAGCTTAAAGAGACTTGTATTAAACGGAAAGAGATAATAGAACAAAAAGCTAGAATTAAGGAAGAGCGTGAACGAAAGGAACGAGAAACAAAAGAGGCATTAGAGAATGCTATAAAGGTTAAAAGAATACATACATCTTGACTAAATTAATCAAAAAATACTAATATATTTTATTAATAGATACGTAATATTAAAATGGAAACAACTCCCAATACACCAATATCACCACACTCGGTACATATAGATACTGAAACTCAACAATTAATTTGGCCTGTCTTTTTCCTATATCCAGAATATAAAGAATCAGATTTTATTGAGGCATTTAACGAAGAAAATACTTTTTTAGATCATCTTGAAGTGATTTTTGAACAATTAGCACCTTGGGATATAGAACATAAGTATACACCAGATAATTTACAAATTTACTACGAATATACACTATCAACTGGTAATGAAGAAAAACAAAAGCTAATCAGGGTTGGAAAGAATTGCACTTTAAAAGAAGTATTGTCACATCCGAAATATGTTGTAAAAAATGGTATCCCTAGTTTTATCATTTTGCAACGTCAAGGAAAATTTCAAGAAGAATTTTTGGCGAAATACAAAAGTTAACAAATAAATATATTTATTTAATTACAACGCCGTTATTGATTTCGATTGAGTAAGGATATATAGTGTGTTATAGTTATCTTAAATGATCCTGTCTGAATTCAGTTATCAATTCGGAATTGAATTCCTTTAATTTTCTTCTAAAACTTCCGTTACCGGGTGAAGTAAAAGCCAATATGCCATTGGAGATTATCAATTTCCAATCAGGAGATCTAGACGGTGTGAAAGGTTGGTGGTTCAAACTTACAGATCCATCGCCGGCAATGGACCACTTTATAGTTTTTAAAAAACAATACTTCAATATATGAGTCATCAAAAATTTTTGGAATATGTAATACAAACCGGAAAAGGCCAAGACCGACTAAAAACTTCATGATTATGGGTGTAGGTGCCGTCTGGAGAGAATGTTACTAATTGATTTCTTGCCAAGCGATTATCAATATTCTTTAAATAATTCTGATTAGGCATAGCTTTTTTTTGACGTGCATACAATTTAATTGTTTCGTTGAGTTGGCTTAATTGACTTACCGTACAAATCCAACTATTTTCAACCAAGTCATTCACATCCAATAAAGTTCGCTGTGCTTCTCTCTCAACGATATTATAAACGATTTTCCAAGTACCAGGCTTTTTAAACCAAAATATACGATTCTCTTCGCATATTTCTTTTATTCCCTGTTTATGTTCCCATCGTCTCAAAGCCAATTGACTCCAAATGTTATTATCTGAAGTTAAATTATTGAAATCACGTGAAACAATTGATAAAATATGTAAATTTTCTTCGTCAAGTTCATTACAAATTGACAATGACAACTCGCGAGGGAGTCGTGTAAATCCCATCACTTAATAATATTTATGATGGAAAAAGGTAAGCGAAACTCGAGAACAACGCGCATGTTTAATTATAATTGACTAACATGTGAATATGTGAATGCATGTGAAAAACGACGAAAACGTACGTACGTGCATACCAGGGACCCGTAAAAATTTGGATTTTATTTATATGATTTCCAAATTTGTATAAATAATTTCCAAATTTTTACGT